CCTCCCCCTGCCCCCGGCCCTCGGCAAGCGGGCTCCGGCTCCCCCTCCCGGCCGCCGCGGCCACTGCGCCCGCCCGGCCGCGGCCCGGAGGCCCCAAAAGGCCCCTCCTTCGTCTCTGGGCCTCGCGCCCCCGCAAGGGCCAGGGACCCAGTGATTAGTCCTGCCGGGCCAGCAGGTGGCAGAGAATGCTGCGACGGGGGTGTCCTAGGGCAGGGTGGCGTCCCGGGCCTCGCAGTAGGTGCTTGGAGAGATGGGAGCTGGCCGGGCACCTGCCCGCCAACAGGGCTGACGCACCACCCCGCACACAGGTGACCCTACCCACCGGTGCCTCGCGGTTACTTTGCAGCTGTAGCCCCTCTCCCTCCCGGGCACATGGGAGCAGCAGGCGAGCAGGTAGTGAAGTCTTCACACAGGGCCCCATCCCAGCTGAGCCCAGGCCTCTGATCTCAGGCCACCCGCCTTCCACCCAACAAATAAACTGAGCTCTGAGAAGCCACCAGAACAGTACGTATGTGTTACACGCGGTAGGGGCGAGGGGAACAGGGAGTCACTGTGCCCACGCACAGGGAAGGCACCCACTGGCCAGGGTGCATCAGGGGCCAGCCCAAAGTCAGTGGGGTCTAGGCCTGGGCAGACTCTGGGGACGGTGATGCTGAAGGGTCCGGTGGGGCCAGGCCTGTGCGCTGGATGCTGTCCTCATACTTCTGGCGGCCGAGCTCCAACACCGCCCTCACCTCTTCGGCTACGTCCAGCCGGTCACTCTGCTCCAAGGCCTGGACGAGGCGCCCCACGGCCCCCGGCTGCCCGGCCTGGCGCTCAGCCCAGGAGAAGAGCATGTGACGGATCTGGCCGTCCAGGTCGTCCCTGGGGGGGGGGGCAGGGGGAGTGGTGACCCAGAGGCCCAGCCGCCACACCCAACGTTCTGCTCGCCCTCCTAGGGCGGGTTCCCTGCTCCCTAGGTGGGATGTGGCCAGACCCTCCCTTTCCTGCCCGTTGGCCCTGTCCCCACCCGCCTGGGGCAGAACTTCAGCCAGCCTCAGGGAAGGTCCTCCTGGCGGCTGCCAGGACCCAGGCCTGAGGCTGGTCCAAAGCCAGCATTAGCAGGCCCGGAGGAACTCACCGGAACTCATGCCTGATGCGCTGCAGCTCACGGTAGGGCATGCCGAGGTGCAGGGCCACAGCTGGCCAGTCAGGGCCCAAGCGTCCGGCCACATTCAGCAGGTTGCTCTGGGTCAGGAAGCCGGTCTCAGCATCACCCAGGTTCAAAGGTGCCAGGGAGAGACTAGTCCCCTGCCCCTGCCCTGGCGCCTTGGACCCCCGCAGTCTCTGTGAGGAGGAAGGGGTGCAGTGAGCCCTGCCCTCTGCCCCCCCCCCCGGCCTCCCCGCTCCCGGCCTCTGTGCCACCCCTGCCCCCTTCACACACACTGCCCCCCACCCCAGGCCACACCGGCAGCTTGATGGGCAGAGTGGCCATCCACGGGCTGTCTGTGCCCTTCCGGTGCCGGGCCGCCTCGGCCTCCTCGGGCACGTCCTCGGGCACTGCTCCCCGGTAGAAGGACACCTGGGGATGGGATGAGGTGGGGCTCAGTGTTCTGGCCTCTGCCCAGGCAGCCTGCCTGGCTCCCTGCCCACTTGACCCACCTGGCCCCTCACAGCCTGAGCCTGTCGGTCCAGGGTTGTGGTCACATACACCTCCTTCACGTTCTTCAGGTGCGAGTAAAAGACAAAGCAGACCCTGCCCTGCACGCAGTCTGGGCGGTCTGGGGGCGGGGATGGGTTCAGCGGGGAGCCTGGGGAACAGACCCCAGCGTCCACCCACCGCCCCCAAGGAGGGGGGGGCATACCAGCATCCACGTCAATACCCTTCTCGAAGGCAGCGAAGAATTTTTCGCCCTCGAACATCTCCACCGTGTCAGAGGGCTCGGGGCCTCGGTACCGCTCCAGCAGCCGCCGCAGGGTGGCATCCACCTGGGGGGGGGGGAGGGGGCGCCCGCTGGCTCGGAGCTCCACGCCCGCACCCCCGCACCCGGACCTCACCCCTCGGCCCTGGCAGACGCCCACCTTGCTGAGGGGCAGACACTGCAGCAGCACCTGCTCGGGGTCGCGGCGTCGCTGCAGCGCGATGAGGCTCACGCGGTGTAGCCGCAGCCGCTCCCAGGCCTTGCGGGCCAGGCCCTCCACGCGGGTCTTGGCGGTGTACCAGAGCCAGTACCTGCGGGGCTGCGCGTGAGTGTGGCCGGGACGAGCGTCCTGCGGGGAGGGGCCGAGGGAGCGGGGGGGGATGGGGGGGCACTGACCAGGAGAAGTGCGTGACCCGGAAGCGAGCATACAGGTGGGTGAGCTCCAGGGCCACCTGAGTGGTGATGTCATCCCACGTGGCTTCGGGAGGGGTCCGGTACAGCAGGTGAAGGCACGAGCGATCCAGACTGAGGCCTAGGGACGCGAGGGGGTGGGAGGCTGAGGCCACCCGCGCAGGGGCTCCCCGTCTGAGCGCTGCCCCCTCAACCCAGCGGCCAGGAACTCAGGTGGGCCGGCCGAGCGGACGGCCGCCTCTCACCTGTGACGCCGGGGGGCAGAGGCAGCTGCACTGTGACCGGCTGGAGGAAGCTGGGGGGGCCGCTCTGGGAGAGGCAGAGCAGGGGGCTGGCCGCCGCCCCGGGCTCCTCCAGCAGGGCCCGAAGCTCCCCGCTGGCCATGCGCACCACCTGGGGCAGAGAGGCCACCTGAAGGCTCACCTTTGTCTTGAGGCGGCCCCCACCGCCCGCCCTGGCCCTGCCTGTACCTGCATATAGACCTGCCGAGGCTGGTCAGTGGCCCCAGGGGGGAATGTGACCTTGACCCCAGGATGTCCCGAGGAGTACAGCAACGTCCCCTCTGGTGGCACCAGGCAGGCATTGGACACAGGACGCGAAACCACGAGGAACCATGAGAAGTGGGGCACCTGGCAGTGGGCCCAGAGCCGCTGGGCACGGGGGACGGGAGTCAGAGGGAACAGGGTCAGAGCGGGGACGGGGTCTGGGCAGAGCCGTCGGGCGGAGGCGGGGGTAGGGCCACAGTGGCTCTCACCTTGGGTGTCTCTTCTTCCAGATGAGTCTCCAGGTCACTCCAGCTGTCATCATTCAGGGTCCTGACCACCACCTCACGGCAACGCCGGGCCCGCGGGGGCACAAAGAGCAGCCACAGGCCCACCTCCTGCCAGGCAAGGGTGGCGTGAGCGCTGGGCCCGGGCCTGGGCCCTCATCACCTGCACCCCACCCCTGACTTGTTCTGGGCGTGCCTGCTGGAAGGCCACCCCGTGGGGCTGCAGCTCCAGGACGTGGCTGAGCAGAGAGTCGTGGGGACCCAAGGGGACGAGTCGCGGCTCCGGCAGCCGTAGTCGATAGCGGATGCTGACAGGGGTGGCAGTGGCCCCAGCAGGGAACTGCAGGCGGACGCCACAGGCCAAGGTCACCGAGCAGCCTTGGGGGGTCACGAGGAAGCTGCATGACAGGGCGGACATCCAGTCAGACACAGAAGGCATGTGTGCATCTGAGTTGGGCACCCCTAGGAAACCGTGGGAGACCCCGGAGGCATGAGCAAGGTGTCCATCAGGGACAGGGTGACAGGGCCAGGACATGCTTGTCTGGCCCCATCTCTCCTCCCCAACACACCTGTCCAAATCTGAGTTCAGGAACAGTCTGGGCATTTCTGGGATCGTCGGTGTCCCTATGGAGGGACAGGAAAGCTGTTAGAACAGCCAGGGCACCTGCCCCCTCGGCCTGTCTGTGGCCTGACCTCCCCCAGCAACAGGCCTACCTGGGGGACTGGGGAGGGCAGGCGGGGCCTCGCCCAGGGGGTTCCCCCGAAGGCGCACAAAGGGGGCGTCCAGTAGCTCAGGGGGCACGTCCCGGAGCTGGTTGTCCCTCAGATCTAGGCGGGTGAGCAGCGGGAGGTGGGCCAGGCTGGTGGGCACCGAGGTCAGGAGGTTGCTGTGCAAAACAAGCAGCCGCAAGGACCGCAGCCCCGCTGCGGGCAGGTGCCAGCTCAGGGCCAGCAGAGGGCTGCGCAGGGCCACCCCAGCCCTGGCCAGGACGGGACACTCGCACTAGTCCTGTCTCCGCCCGCTCCGGCCAGACTCAGGGGGCTTGGGAAGTCTGTGCAGGGGCCTCCACAGCTGGGGAAGGGAAGGCAGGCAAGGATCACCTAGGGGGGTGGAGGCTCCGGGGTGGGCCAAGCCTGTGTGTGCAGGGGCCCCTGTGGAGGACAAGGGGGCCCACGTGAGAGTGGAGGCCAGGGCACTCCCCGTCAGGCCCAGGGAGCCAAGAGGGCCACGGCTCCTACTCACCAAGGGAGGCTGGGAGGCTCTGCAGCCGGTTGGAGGCCAGGTTGAGCTCGGTGAGGCTGCTCAGGCCTCCAATCTCAGGGGGCAGAGTGTCCAGAAGGTTCTGTGAGAGATCGAGGCACTGAAGGGTGGTCAGGGCTCCCAGCGCTTTGGGCAGCGTTCGCAGGCAGTTGTGGGTCACATAGAGGAAGGTGAGGGCGGGAAGGGCGCCCAGAGCCTCAGGGAGCTCTGAGAGGTGGTTGTGGGAGAGCAGGAGGGTGCTCAGACCATGCATCTGGGGGATGCAGCCCGGCAGCGTCTCCAGGCTGTTGAAGCTCAGGTCTAGGTGGGCCAAGTGGGTCAGGCCACTCAGGCCAGCAGGCAGTGTGGTCAGGGAGCCCCGGAGGCAGGCACCCAGCACATCCCGCTGTTGCCCACCTGGAAAGGGGAAAGGCGAAAGGGGGAAGGCAGATGTGGCCCTCAGAGCCACAGTCAGGTCCCCGCTCAGAGGCACAGACTTCTCCTAACCCCACCCACACGGGGACAGACTGAGACGCCAGCAGACGGACACTGCAGGCTCATCTGGGCTGACAGCCATCACCCACGACCTGCCCCAGGAAAGACAGCCACGCTAGGGTCGGCTGGGAGCTGCGGTGTCCAGGAGCCCGGGCCCAGCCAGCTGCACCCTGTGAGGGGGTGGGACCAGGTGGGGCTCACCTCTGAGGACCAGGGAGCGAAGATGCCGCAAGCTGCGCGGCACCTGGGCCAGGGTGGTCTCTAGCAGCCGAGGGTCCTCGTGGCTGCTCAGTTGCATGAACTGCACCTCCAGCAGCTGCGGGGACTGCCGGGCACACAGGTGTAGCAGCCGCTGGCAGCCCCCAGGGTACAGGTCCAGGCTCAGCCGGCTCCCAACCAGGAGAGGGGGGTCCCCGGGTTCTGCGTCCACAGCATCCACAGCATCTACAGCATCTTGTGCGGCATCTTCTGTAGCAGCTGCCTCGGGCTCCAGCCCCTCCGCCACCGCAGCCATCGCCCACTGGCCGTCCTCGGGGGCCAGACATGTCCCAGCCTGCCAGGCAGGCCTGCTCAGACAGGGCCTGGGAAGGCTGCAGAGTCAGGGGGAGGAGTGGGAGGGAGTGGGACTGGGCCCTCCTCCTGCTCAGGGGAATGGAGACTCCGGCTGGAGGGGAGTCCTTGAGCCAGGCCAGACGACCCACAGAGCCCAGGGCCTCGGCTGCACAGATCTTTGCTGGAACAGGGCTGGGAAATGAGCGCCCTAGAGCTAGGAGGGCAGCACGCAGGGAGGCCTGTGTGCAGAGGAGCCTGGGAAACCTGCTGGGGCGGGGGTAGTGGGAGAGGAGGGAGAAGCGAGGCTTCGCATCCCAATTCTGGACACTGGCACAAGGGACTCCTAGAGCCGTCAGCCCATCCTGGAGCTGTCAGCTCATCCTGGCCGTCTCCCTTCCCCGCCCCTTTCAGAGTTCTGGGTCCAGCCCCACCTCCAGCCTTCACACCCACGAGCTTTGACCAGAGGTCAGGGACTCTTATCTGCCGCGTGGAGGCAGTGGCCCAGACGTGGAATAGGGTGATTGTGCCGGCACGTGTCAGAGAAGTGAATGAGTGTGTGGGGTGATGGGACCCCACTTCGTGACCGCTGGAGGAGGGTTCTCCCACGCTTCCCGGTCGGAAGATGAAGGCAGTGGTCTGCACACTCAGAGCTCCGACCGCCTGGGGGCCGGTCCTGGCCCCGAGAGCACCCCCGACCCCCACCGTCCCCACCGCCCGCCAGCGCCCCGCGCGCGTACCTGCCTTCCAGGCTGTGCGCGGTCCCCGGTGCGCGTCCGGCGCCGGGTTTCCGCCGGTGAGTTCCCGGAGCGGGCCGGGACTCCCGGTCCCACCCAGTCAGGACACCCCTAGCTCTGTGGCGGGACCGCAGGCAACGGCCTCGGGGTCCCTCCCCGCCCCGCCTGCCCTCTGCCAGCCTGCAGCCCCGGAGACGCGGCCGCGGACCCCAACCGGCAGCCGCCAGCCCAGCTGCACTCGGCTTCCTGTTAGTCTGTCTCAGTCCAGCCTCTCCCGCCGCGAGGGCCCGCGTAGCGGCTGGGAAACCCGCCCTTTCAGAGGTTCCTGGCCCTCGGGCCCGCCCTGCTCCGGAGCTGGGCATTCTGGGCCCCTGTCAGAGTGAGCTGGTGCAAATCTCGGCACGGAGGAAGGCTTTGGGGGCCGATCGCAGCTGCTGCCAGAAGCCAGAGCTCTAAACGGGCCGCTTCCCAGCCAGCCTCAGGGGCCTCCTTCTCCCCGGAGCCTTCCTGGGGCTCCTCTAGAGACCTTGTCCCAGCTCCTGTGATCCTATTAACTGGCAATCGCTCTGGGCCAAGTGACCCAGCAGTGGGCTTCCCCGCACGTTGCCTTTTTCAATCTTTGCACCTCGAAGGAAAGGAAATGGAGGCTATGACAGATTAGATCTTGCCCAAGGACTCATAGCCGGTAAGGGCCAAAGCCAAGAACTTCAGACTAGGTCTGGCTCTCAGAGCCTGCCGTCCCTGTGTTCATTTGCCCACACTGCCGCACCCTCTTTCCTCCGATTCCCTAGCTATCACCGTCCCTTCCCCCAGGATGGGCAGTTCTGCCAGGCCCCCACTTTCCTGGCTCCTGTCCCCCACTCAGTTTCTACGTAGCTGCCGGAAGTCTTAAAATAAATCACAGGAATACTATTCAGCTTTAAAAGGGAACAAAATTGGGATACGCGCACACACGCATTACAACGTGCGTGAACCTTCAGAAGATCGTTAAACGAAAGATCAGATCCAGAAGGGCAAACGCTGTGTGCTTTCTCTAATACGAGGTCCCCAGAGTAGCCAAATTCATAGAGACAAAAAAATTAAGATGGCAGGAGCCAGGAACCGGAAGAGAAAATAGGGAGTTACTGTCTAATCCAACTTGGGAAGATGGAAAACAGTCTGGTGATGGATGACGGGGACAGTTGTGTAATGTGAGTGGACCCAATACGACTGAATCGGGTGATTAAAATGGTAGGTCTCATGTATTATTCTCTCTCTAAAAATAAAAATCACAACCGGCTACTTCCCTGGGTATTGCAGAAGTCCCCTCCTCGCGAGGAGTTTCCCCACTTTACCCCAACCGTGAGACCTTGAACAAGAAAACCTTTCTGCGCCAGACAGCGAGGCCGCCCACAGGAACCGTGTGGTTTGCATGAACACACCCGTGCTTGATGCACTACACCCGAAGGTTGGCCTCGCTGTGACAGCCCCCCACGGGCTGGGCTGGCTCCTGCTTCTGGACCCATCCCCAGCCACGGTGAGGCCTTTGCACCTGACCCTTCTGCCTGGCGCTCGCCCCAGCTCTCAGGGCCACCTCATCCCTTCGAGCTTATCTCGGTCTGGATCGACTCGTTTATTTACTCTGTGTGTTCGCGCGCTCTAAACTTAGGTTCCGGAGAAGCAGGGCCAGGCCTGCTCCCTCTCGCCACGCCAACCGGCGGCGGGGTCCCGGATACCGTGCAGTGAACAAGTGGCACGTGGACACAGAGGTGAGTTCGGAGTCCACACGACCCCGCAGGGGTACAGCCACCAGGCCCAGGCCGCTCGGCTCCGCAGTGTGAGCGCGGGCCGGACTCGCCCACCTCACTGGCCTGGCTGCGCGGGAATACCGCGGGTCCCCACAGTCCCCGCGGCCAGGAACCAACGGGCAGCCAGCCGGCCGCGTGCGTCGGCACAGAAAGCGCGCCCGCACTTCCGGTAGTGGTGCACCATGGGACTTAGAGTCCTCCCACGGCGACGGCCACGTCCGCCGCACAGAGATGTGTGGCGGGAGTCGCGGCCGCGCTGCAAGCTCGCTCGCCCCGCCATCCCAAGAAGGTCGGGGGACACTCCTCCCCGCGTGGTACAGGAAGGCGGCCCTGGAGCTGCCCTTCGCCTTTGCTGCCGCGGGACTGGACGGAGCGAGGCCTCTTCGCCTCCGCCGCCTGGGCGCCGTGTGACGTCACTCGGAGGCGCCCTCGCGGCGCGGCACACGGATCCCGGGGGCTTCTGGGTAGCGGATTACCCCCGCCCCCCGCGCCTGCGACTTCCTTTCCGTCCCTGACGCCGCCGAGGTCGCACGCGTGAGGCTAGTCCGCCGCCGAGTGAGTGGGCGGCGGGGCCAGGGCGCGGGCAGTGGGGGCCGTGGGGGTCCCGGGGAGGGGCGGGCAGGCGCCGGCCGGGTCTTGGAGGGGGCCGGGGCGGACGGCTTCCGAGTCACGCCGCCGCCGTCTCCTCCCGCCTCAGGATGCGCTACGTCGCCTCCTATCTGCTGGCCGCCCTCGGGGGCAATGCCTCCCCCAGTGCCAAGGACATCAAGAAGATTCTGGACAGCGTGGGCATCGAGGCGGACGACGACCGGCTCAACAAGGTAGCCGCCCCGCAGGCCCCGCAGCCCCCGGCTGGCCCGACCCTGTGCATATGGAGGCCTGTGGCCTCGGCGGCGCGGGTTTCACCCTTGAGAAAGCGCGGCTTGGTGTGCTCGGGGCGGGCGCGGGGCTGCTGCGACCCCAAAGAAGGGACAGTGAGGCGGGGGGGGGGGCGTGAGGCGGACTCCAGCCTGGTTCCGGGGACCCGAGATGGAAGTTACAGCGCAGTTTAAAACGTCCAAGTGGCTTTGTGTTAGAGAAGTGGAAAGGGCAGGGCGCGTTTTAATGACGTTGTCTTTCACCCGCCTCACTAACGTTCGGGCGTGTGGCTAGGATAAACCGAGATGCTGTGCGATTCTTGCTCGGGAAATGCCGGGAGTGCTCCGGTTCTCGCTAGCGGCAGGCTTAGATTAGAGAACGCACGTGCGGGCCATAAGGGTTGGGCTGGACAGGGCAGGGCTCGAGGCTCGGGGGCGTTTTCTCTGTGCTCCTTGGTTCTAGGAGGTGAAGTTAGGGTGTGGGGCGCAGTAGTGAGCCTCTGGTAACTGCTGGTTGTGGTTCTAGGTCATCAGTGAGCTGAACGGAAAAAACATCGAAGACGTCATTGCCCAGGGTGAGATTGTGTGCTGGGGGGTTTCGTTCTCGTGGTCCATCCTAATCCCTGCCGGTCAGCCTGTGGCCTGCCAGGTTTCGCTTGTGGACCAGAGCACTCGAGAAGCCTCACCCAGAGAAGTGAGCAGGCTTCAGTGGGCTTGTGCCGGGGATGCTTCTAGACATTCTGTGTGGGAGGGCAGCAGAGGGTGCTGGTGCTGTCACCGGGCCGGCTGCCCACCCCACCTGCAGGGCTCGGAACTGGGTATTATTTCCATCTTAAATATATTTTTTAATGTTTGTTTATTTTTTAAAAGAACGTGCGCGTGAGAGGGAGAGGGAGACAGAGGATCTGTGCGCTGTCGGCACAGAGCCCGATGTGTCACGAACTGTAAAATCATGACGTGAGCCGAAGCCGGATTAACTGACTAAGCCACCCAGACAGCCGGGAATTGGGGTTTTATGAACAGATCTCACCATGTGTTCTCGGGGGGTTGGGAACACCGACTGGGTGTGGGAGAGACCACAGGTCCCTGCCCCTCTTTGCCGGGCAGATGGTTTTCTGGTGGCATGAGGCTGCAGCTGATGGAATTGTTTGGAAGTGGTGCTGTTGGGACGGTGGTTCTATTCCTGTGTGTGTACTTCATGGGGCACAGCCAGCTCGGCAAACAGCTGGGGATGAGGATCTGGACCCAGGTAGCTGACTTAGTCCTGTCCCGGATGTAAATGCATTTGTCCAGCTTCCTTTGGGGTGGGTGTGGTCACCCAGGGGTGTTTTGGGGGGGGGGGGGGGGGGGATTCCTAGACAGTTTCCAGACAGGACATTGTAGGGGGCTGGGGTGCGTGTATGTGGCAGAGGCAGAGCCGCCTGTGTGGGAGGACAGAGAAGCTTGTGACGCTGGCACTTGGTGATGTCTCCCTATATCGGGCAGACTGTCTTGTCCACCCCCACGGGGCCTTCAGGTGAGCACCTGCTCTGATCTCCTCTCCCCTGACTTCCATAGGTATTGGCAAGCTGGCCAGTGTGCCTGCTGGTGGGGCGGTGGCCGTCTCTGCTGCCCCAGGATCTGCAGCTCCCGCTGCTGGTTCCACCCCAGCTGCAGGTAAGTGGAGGCTGGGGCAGGGTCTCTGTTGGGAATCTGGCATGCGCTGTGGGCCTTGCTCACTGTGCCCTTCCTCCCCACAGCAGAGGAGAAGAAAGACGAGAAGAAGGAAGAATCAGAGGAGTCGGATGATGACATGGGATTTGGCTTGTTTGATTAGAGTCCTGCTCTCCTGCAAATAAAACCCTTTTTACGTATTTTTTGAGCGACCTGTGAGTGTTTTGTAAGAGTGCGGCCTTGGCACAGGGCAGGTGTGGGGGAAGAGGGGGTCCCACCGTGGGTGGGCAGGCCTTCATTCCAGGAGAAACCCAAGCCCTTCCTGGTGACGTGAGGAACTGGGGATCTGGTGCAGAGATGGCTACCTGGGATGGGGGGGGGGCACCTCCTATGGATCTAGGGTGCGCCAATCCTTGAGTAGGCTCTGGAGGGAACGTAAGCTTTCTTAGGCACAGTCCTGACTCCTGAGGACTGCCGGGGCCTCCCCAGGAAGCGAAGCCTTCAGGGGACACACAGGAACACTTCAAAGGCAGTAGTGGGTGGTCTGCAGTGCTCTCAGGGGGCTCTGGCTGGTGGAGGCCAGCAGTTGCCCCAAGACTGGTAGCATTTTTCAGTTACACACGAGAAAGAGGTGTGGTGGTGCATGTGCGATCTGTAGGTTTCCCTGTGGAGTCCGGGCTCCAGCTCGTGTTCAAGCTCCACTTTTAATCTCGGCACCTCGGGGCAGTCACGTTCCTGCTCTGAGGCTTGGTTACCACAGCTATCTGACGGTCTGGCCAGATGAGGAAGGGGCTCGTAAGCAGTGATGTTGGGCCATGTGCCCCCTAAGTCCAGGGGCAGGCCTTCCCGTGCCCATCCAGCCACCATCCTGGCCCTGCAGTGGTTTATAGTCTCCTGGGCCTTAGGTCCTCTGCCCACCAATGCCAGACCACTCAGTAGACACTCTGATTCTCCCTCTGATGGCTCTGGGTCAGCACCGGGCTGTACTGTATGTGCATCTCGTGCCAGGCTACAGCTCTGACCTCCTCGTGGCTGGTTCTGCAGGAAACAGGTAAGGAAGGAGCATAAAAGAAACGTCTGGGGGTGGAGGGCCTCTCTCAGGGAGGGAGGATGAGGCCTGTGGGACAGGAGTGTGTATGGGATGGATGTAAGAAAGAAGGCCTGAGGCCCTCCTGGTTACCCGGAGGAGTGGGGACGAGCGTGGGACTCGGGTTTGGGGGAGGAGGTAGAACCCGCCCCTGTGGTCGGTGGGACACGGGCCACGAGGCATCACCGCACGTGTTCCAGCAGCATGTGCTGCAAGGGGCAAGGAGGGTGGGGTTGTGGATGCCCCAGGTTCCCTGGGGGAGGGGGCCTAAAGTCCGTGGGCAGACCTCAGACAGGGAAGAGAAGGGTCCTGTGTGGGATTGGAAGCACGACACCCGCCTGGCAGAATGATTACACAGCAGGTCAGTACTTACACGCTCGGGTCCCGTACCTCTGCTTGAGTAAAACCACCTTTTAGGGGCGCCTGGGTGGCTCAGATGGTTGAGGGTCCTCTTGATTTCAGCTCCGATCATGATCTCACAGTTCCTGGGATCCAGCCCCACGTCTTGGGATTCTTCCCCTGCCTTCTTCCCCACGTGCTCACATGTGCCCTCTCTCAAGATATTTTTTTTTATATGATTACAGAGCAAACACCAGGGTTTTCATCCACACTGGGAGGGAGGGGGGCCACCTCCCACCCCCAGCCAGGGTTCCTGGAAGTGCTGCTATGTTCCTGGCTCCAGAGCAGACAGTCCCAGGGGCCTGGAGAGAGGGATGTGTATCCAAAACAGTGCAACTCTGATGTGGAAATGGGGGCAGAGGTCTCCCGGCACCGGGGCAGGGCCACCCTTCAAGGCCCCACAGTCCCTCAGAAGCAGGAAGGGCCTGGACCCTGGCTTGTCCTTGGAGCAGGTCCCTGGCTCAGCCTGCACCTCTTGGTGGTCACCCTGCTGAACCCCTGGGCTTTCCAGGCCAGCTTTGGGGTGTGCTTCATCCCCACTGTACCATACCTCCTGCCCCCTGCCGCTTCCAGCAGCTTCCCCAAGGTCTCAGTCAGAAGGGGCCTTGATCATCCTGATGGGGCCATAGTCTCTGCACTGTACATCCATCCAAGGCACTTGGGGGTAGAGAAGGTCAATTGGTCTAAGTCAAATTCAGTTAAATATCTGCCGTTTTCCGCTCTCCCAATACCCGGTCTGGGCTCCCCTCCCCACCCCCAAGGCCTTTGTGCCTGCTGTCCCGCAGCCGAGGCAGTCCTGTGCCCTCCACCCCCAGTCCCCCATCAGTCCTCATTTTGAGCTTATGTAAACAATGCCTCCCCCCACCCCTCAAATAGGGCTGGGTCTGGACTGACCCTGCTCCACTGCTCTATCCTGTGCAGTCCCTCTGTCCCACACACCGTTGGTGCCAAGTATGGGTGGCTGAGAGCACAGAGGCTGAGGGATGGACAGCATGACCCAGATGGTCCTGTCCTGGGGAAGCCCTGCTCTGGCTTCTCAGCCTGGGCCTGAAGGGGGTGGGGGGTGCAGTCCTGAGCCGCAGCCCAGACCTCCGTAGCCCTGGCACCGGCTTCTGCCTAGGGTGTGGGTGTTCCTGAGGAGGCAGAGGCATCCCACCGCCCCAGCACAGACCAGCCCCTTGTCTGGAAGGTGGGGTGAGGTGCAGGGCTGGCTCCTGGATCCAAGCCAGACTATGCCTGCCCTACACTCCAGGAGAAAAATGCGGAAGGGTGTGAGGGTGACATCACAGGAGTGCTCCACCTGCTGGGGCAATTAGCGGGGGGGGGGGGGGGGGGGGGGGGCCCCCCCCCACCCACAAAAAAAACAACCCACCCCCGAGTGCAAGAAAATGACCGAACGAGAGAAAGAGAGAGGG